GGGTCACTATGAGTCGGTTCCGACTCAATGGCACCTGACAACAACAACAACAACAACTTGTTTTAATTAAAATTTTCTCACTCAAATCTAAGCTAAGTCAAATGTAAACATAACAAACTAGAGGTTAATCTAGAATGAAACCTTTCAGGATAGTTTATATTCCAGAAATACTTACTGTATAAAAGAAATATGGAATGAATACCAAATTCTGGAATCATTTTATTTATGTTTTAGCACCTGTGTGTTCTGATGAAAAAAATATTAGAAAAAATTCTTATCTAAATGAAATACAAATACACAATTTTAATATCAAAGGTATTATTTCACTGGAGAAAGTTCAGTAAGTGCTTAAAATTTAAAAAAATGTGGTCTTTTATTTGGAGTCTCTGGGTGAGCCAAGCAGTTAAGTCCTTGACTACTAACTGACAAATCGACAGTTGGAACCTACCTAGAGACACCTTGCAAAGAAAGTCTGGTGATGTGCTTTGGAAAGATTAGTCATGCAAACCTTATGGAGTTCTACTCTACAACACACAGGACTGAGTCAATTTTCTCTTACAATCTTATTACGTATCAAGATGCTATTGTTAAGCACTTTCCTGTCAGTTCTGACTTAGAATATCCCTATGTACAAGAGGATGAAACACTGCTCTGTCCTATACTATCCTTATAATCATTGCCCTACTTGGGACCCTTGTTGCAGCCACTATGCCAATCTATATTGTTAAGGAGCTTCCTTGTTTTTAGTGATCCACTATTTACCAAGCATGGTGTCCTTCTCTATGGAGTGGCCTCTTCTGATAATATGTCCAAAGTCTGAGACATGAAGTCTTGCCATCCTTGCTTCTAAGCAGAATTCTGGCTGTACTTTTTTCCAAAACAGATTTATTTGTTCTTCTGGCAGTCCATGGTGCTTTCAATATTCTTCCTCAACACCAAGATTCAAATATATCAATTCTTCTATTGTCTTCCTTATTCATTATCCCAATTTTACACACAAAGAAAGAGATTGAAAATACCATGGCTTGGATCTGGTGCACCTTAATTGTCAAAGTGACATATTTGTTGTTGTTTGACATCTTTATTTTTAACACTTTAAAAAGTTCTTTTGCAGTAACTTTTCCTAATGCCATAAGTCATTTGATTTCTTGATGGCTACTTCCACTGATGGTGAATCTAAGTCAAATGGAATCCTTAAGAGTATCAATCCTTCCTCATTTTATCATGAAAGGGAAGAGGACTCGAAGTACATTCTAATGAAAACAAAAGACTGTCCATTTGAACCACCAACCCTTTGATTGGTAACCAAAGGCTTCACCACTTACAAGGGCTCCTTCCAATCTGGTTGTTGTTGTGAAGTGCCGTCAAGTCAATTCCAACCCATAGCAACCCTGTATAGGGTTTCCAAGGAGCAGCTGGTGAGCTTACACCACCGACCTTGCAGTTCAAACGGCTTTGCAGTCTAGCGCATTAACCCACAGTGCCACACCAGGACTCCAATCTGGTTAGGTCTTATGAATTTGTGTTTCTGTTACTCTGAATATCTACAGCGGTTACACATTCTTTGTCTGTCCTCTCATTGAAAGTTCAATCAATTTTATCCACTCCATCCCACTTTACCCTTCATCTTTGCTGGTCTTATGGCTGTTACAGAACTGTCCTTTGATTGGACATAGTCAGGCTACAGTCACCTGGGATTTTGATCGAGCTAACAAAGATGGCCCCTCACATGAATGGCAGTTGTGGGATCAGCTGAAACTGTTTAGTAGATCTCTTCATTTCTCCCCCACATGTTCTGAGCTTCTCACAGTATAGGGGCTGGGACCCAATGAACTTGTATTATAAGAAGAAAACAATTGCCAAGCTCTCTAACAGCAAAACAAGGAACTTTGATTATTTGATGTTTCCAGTTGAATTATAACATAATGAGAGTGCAAAGGGGGAATGGAAATATTTCTACTAAAGATAAAAATAATTTTATTATACTAATATTATTGTGGAGTCCTGGCATGGTGCTGTGGGCTAATGCGTCAGACTGCAAAGTTGTTTGAACTGCAAGGTCTGTGGTTCAAGCTCACCAGCTGCTCCTTGGAAACCCTATACAGGGTCGCTATGGGTTGGGATCGACTCGACGCACTTAACAATATTATTAAGTGCTGTTGATTTGCTTCTGACTTATAATTACTCTGTATAGATATACCAAGGAGCAACTAGAGGCCTGAACTGCTGACCTTTTGGTTAGCAGCCCAGTCCTTTTCCTACTGTGACAGCAAGACTACAAATTACTGTTAATACCCAATTTTCAAAAGCAAATCGATGGTTAATAAAAGTAGATTTTATTGGCATTTAACCTGGATTACCTAAACAAAAGAATTAACTGTCATTTAGGATGTTTTGATTGTAAACATTAAGCTAAAATAGCAATTTTATACAATTAGGAACATAATCATCAAATCAAAGAGGAAAAAAAGAGAAGGAATTCTAACAGAGAGCAAGAGGTCAACGTGATGGTCTGAAGCTTCACTATAAAGAAGGAGTGAACCTAAGGCTTCTCCTTCCAGTTTCTACCATGAATACTACATGCACTTGATAGGGAAAGTGTTGTTGTTGTTAAAGGCCCTTGAGTCAGTCCCAACTCATAGCAACTCTGTCTAGGGTTTTAGTGGCCAGCCGGTGGGTTTGAACCATCAACTTTGATTCAAGTTCACCTTGCAGTCCAATGCATTATTCTAATGAAGTAGATATTATGTATATTCAGTATAACTAAAAATGTTGTCTGTGTGAATGACTACTATATTATTAGATAGGATAATAATATTTCCACTTTTAATCTAGGACTTTGTTATGTGCCATCGAGGTGGTTCCCACTCATAGCGACTGTATACTGTTCTGAGGAGTGGCTGGTGAGTTTGAACTGCCGATCTTGCAATTCAAATGACCTTGTTATCTGGTGCTTATCTTATAGTGCCACACCAAGACTTCAGGACTTTGTTGTTGTTTTTGTTGTTAAGTGTTATCTAGTCAGTTCTGACTCATAGTGACTTGTATAGGGTTTCCTAGGAGTGACTGGTGAGTTTGAACCATCAAACTTGCAGTTCAAACTAACCTTGAGATCCAGTGCTTATCCTATAGCACCACACTAGGACTCAGAAATTGGTGCTATTTTAATCGGAGGGATTTTATTTTTTAATTCCAAGTGCACTTTTGAGTTCTTTTATTTTTTAAATTGTATAATTCTATCTATAAGACAGAAACTACCCAATATAGTTAATACGGTTCCATATTCCTTTCCTTTAGGACCAATCATCCCAGCAAACATCTGCTATGCTGCTTCTCAGAAGTCATATTTCAATGAAAATCACAATACAGAGTATAAAAGGCAAGGGGTGTGTGCATATGTGTGTGTTTCAGTTCCTGACTTTTGATTTGGAGCTGCACTTGTATACATTTAAAATATAAATTGGTCTTTATATAAAGAAGGTCACACTCCAAAATGTTTATTAGATCCGTTTACATATCCTATTTTAAAATGCAAGTGATTCACAGAAAGAAATTTTAGAACCAAAAGCTTTTTTCATGCATTCATACAGTGGCTATGTAGCTCAAATACATTTTACAATTAGACTCTGAAGACATGAAGCAATACTTTCCACTCAGTCTAAGCCAATTGAGACAGGTCGAAAAGGGGGGGAGGGGCGGAGAGAGGGAGGGAGGAAAGGAATGAGGCAGAGAAAAGAAGAGAGAGAAAAATAAAAGGAAAGATAAAATGTCATTTTGGAGTCCACAGCCTCACCGATATATCTCTGTAGGACTTAACAAGGACCATGGCGTTTCTTTTGGGATCTAAAAATAAAACAAAACGAATAGTTACTGTCGAATGATTTGGAATTACAGCGACTCTGTAGGTCAGAGTAGAACTGCCCCATAGGCTTTCAAGGCTATAAATCTTTGGGAAGTAGAGTGTCACATTTCCCATGCAGAATGACTGGAGGTTTGAACCGCTGACCTTTGGGTTGCTCACCCGCTGATCTTTTGGGAGCTTACCCACTGCGTTACCAAGGCTCCTTTTTTTTGGCTTTAAAAAGGCTAATACAGCCTATACTATATGCACTCCTACCTCCTCATCTAAGTCCCCATTCCTACAGGAGGTAAGAGCTCTTGATCCATTACTAGGCACGCTGGTTCCTAGGAGAAAGGCTGCCACAGGTTACAGTTTGTAGTTAGGGATGGCAATGTACCTAAATGCTTGGAAGAGGGAGCAGTCCCATCTGCGTGAGACACATCTCGATCCCCATAGTTTTCAGGGAACGGGGGAGGAGTGTGGGAGGACAGACTGCCTTGCAATGAGAAAAAGCGCGGAGTGTTGGCGTGCAGGGCGGAGGAAGAGCCGGGTGACACTGCCAGCTTTTAACCAGGACGCGAGTGTTTACAGACTCAAGTAGAGCTGCCCTGGGTCTCCGCGTTGTGGCTCCAGAAGCTGATGCCTAAGGACCCTGAGCCTCAGCCCTGCCTCGCTTTGGGATCCTCTTTTTCTTCTTCCCCATCACATACCTGGCCAGAGCGGCAGGACTTATATCCCTGGGGACTCCCTCTCGGCGGGACCAGCCTTGCCTCCGCTGCTATCTCGCCTCGTCTCGCAGCGCTTCCGCCGGCACCATGGAGGAACCGGTGAAACCAAGGGTAGCCGGCGCTTTTGCCTTCGGAATCTCTGGCCTGGCGCCTTTTGGGTGAGATGAGCCGGGGAACTGGTATCTCTGCTGGTCCGAGTTTGCCCCGTACCCGTAAAGCCTTGGCACGAAAAGAGAAGAGAAGATCCGGGTAGGCTCGGAGATCCAAACCCTCCTCCAGCGACGTCTTCGCCCTCCACTTCCTCGCGGCCGGGATTGTTTATATAGGATCTGGAAGCGGGGAGGGTTTGCCCACCTCCATCCCCAGCGGCCCGCCCTCCTCCCTCCTTGGGCTCAGGCTTCCGCACGTGGTAGACACCAACCAACGTCTCGGGGAGGCTGGAGGCAGGGAGCGCGGAGCGAGCGCTTGGGAGCACGCGCGGCGCTCTTCTCCTTCTCCACCACTTCCAAGGCCAGCTCAGTCTTGGTTTCGCCACCCTCCGCCCCATTTACGGGAGGGGAGATTTCAAATTGCCCCTTAGGTGCTAGTGATGTTTCTTCGTGTTCGTTCAGTTTCCGGAAAAGAATGGTAACATGAACACTGGAGCGTAAGAGCGTCACAGGAGGAAGAAGAGATTGATGGGCAGGGCGCTTACTTGGCAAAGGATCTCATTCTGAGGACCGCGTGAGGAGGGGACGTCGTGGCGCCTTTACTTCCTTGCTGGACTCCGCTGACATCTGTAGCCTCCTTGCATCAGGTTACTAGGTGGCGGAACCGCTGGCTGCAGAGAAGTGTTTAGACAGCGCGTGAGGATAGGAGTTAGTAGACCTTTGTCCAAAGAAGTGTTCAGCCTCGGATCCGATCCTCCTGGATCCCCGTGGAGCCCGCCGGCACGCTGGCTCCAGAGGGAGTTGGATTTGAGTTCAGGTGGGTTATTCCAAAGGAAGTGCAGGAAGAAATGTTCAGGGGTGACAAGATGAGAAAGGTGTCAAAAGCGGACAATTTTCCTCCTGACACTTGAGGGGGCTGAGTCACTTCCTACCATCTAGTCCTTCTAACCCGCTCCTCCAGGACTTAATCCTCCCACATTATGGGGTGGGGGTGGGGACACTGCCCCGTTTCCCTAAGTATCTAGCATGCTATTGACTTTTTCATAACTTATGATTAGACTATGAAACGATCATATTTATTCCATTACTTTTTACTAATGGAAGTCGATATGCTTAATGATTTCTTCAGTCAAGTCATTTACTTCTAAGCCAATAGATATTACCTTCGTCATAGTTTTCTGGGGGGAAAGTAACTATGCGTTTGTTCTGCAGATGGCCAACTCCCTCTGAATCCTGCAGATTGTTGCTGAGCACACAACAAAAGTTTTTAGCTTCTCCTCAGTTTCTGGTGCTTCCCAGGGCAGAGAAAAGGACTTTGACATTAAACACAAGAAGCAGTCAGGGGACTATCTCCTTTAACTTTTCTTCTCTGTTATCATTTGCAATGAAGAGGAAACAGAAGAGATTTCTGCAGATGACTTTGTTGTTCATGGTGGCTTTAATTTTCCTGCCCAATATTGGTCTCTGGTCTCTGTACAAGGATAAGCACCTGGTGAAATCTACAGAGCCTGGGGAGCAGCAGGTAAGTACCGCCCAGAGAAAGATCACAGGAGAATTGGTAAGACACACAATCCTGGGGACACCAGGAAGCAGGTGTGACATAGCCTTGGGTTTACACCCAAGTCTTTATAGAGCTAATAGTACAGGACTCTAGAGACATTTGGGTTTGAGCAAACAGTTGTTGTAAGATTGTAATCAATCACTTTGTGAAACGTTAAGTAAACTAGAAAAAGATGAGCAGCAGAGGTCAAGATGAAGAGAATATAGTCTTTTACAGTTGTTTTAGGTTGATTTCTCTTGAGGTGAATAAAAGGTAATTGTTTATTTCTGAGATATGGGAGTGGGTTTGGTACAAGTTAAATGTGTTTCTGCCTTTAATCTAGTTTTGATATCTGTATCACAGTGAATTAGGTCAATTACATCATTAAATTTTTTTAACTTGTTCTCAAAAAGCAAACTAGTTTTGTAGGTTTTGGTTATAGTATTTGCTTAGCAACATATTTTTACTCTGGAAACTTGAAAGGCTCTCTTTCATCTCTCCTATTGCCAAGGTGGTGTAGTATGGTATACAGGCAGAGTTCTGAACAATATTCAGTTTTATAATCTGGTGACCTCAGTGTGTTGCTAAAAGCTTTCTTTTATATTGGAGACAACATAAGTATGATTGATATCTATATCTACATATTTTTTTTTACTCAGCATGTAATTCATTGTATGTATGTCAGTGATATGAATCTAAGTAATTGTCTCTTTAAGTGAACAACAATGCAGAAATATCCTTAAGTTGTTGATTAAGTTTAATATAAAATTGTTGCATTATTTATTAATACATACAACAGCTAAGTAATTATAATTTTAACAATAGAATGCAGTCTTCTTCATGGCACTGATCTAACACTTTTTCAGTTAGTCCTATGTATCACCTTGAGATATTAATACTCTTAATTTAAAGGGTCATCACCCATGTACATATATGTTCCTTCCATACCTAAATTGTGTTTGAGTAGTTCATTTCTAGATAATAGTAATAATATATTAATGACAATTAAATGTTTGTTCTTATACTTAACAAAGTTTAATTTTCTACACAAAGAGTAGGTAGTTATGAAATGGAAGTAATTTCCTTTTTAATTATGACAGAAAGTCATTGCCAGTCTCTAAACTTTGAAAGATAACTAGTTGCTTATGGATTTTTAATAGGTTGGAATCTTGAGGGAAAATGTTAAAATATTTTCCTTTACTATTGAACTCTGTCATCCTTTCTAATATAGATATAACTGGTTTGAAGTATATTCTATTTTGTCATGTAGGGGAAAAGGTAGATGGGCACTTTGGATAGGGAACATATTATCATCCTGTGTAGATCACTTATTTCCCCAATTCTTGATGTAGAAGGAGTCTATTAAAACTAGTAGTCAATATGTCATTATGTAAAATTACCACTCAAATGTTGATCAAATAATCACAAAAGCTAAATTATTTTTCTTTGAGTTTTGCTAATTCAATTAACAATTACTCCCTGAAGTATTTGCTGGTATAGCTAACATAAAACACTAATGCATCTTATTGATGAGCTCTTTACAACTTTCACACTGACTCTATTGATTTTGACCCTTAATGAGAAACTTGTTTGTCCAATGGCATAAAAAATAAAATGTGGCAATTCAATTCTCTGATTTGTCATTAAAATCTTCAAAATGATATCCTTGTTTCTGGTTCTTCTGCAGCACAAATAAAACACAATGTTGGGTCACAAATTAATGGTTATGAGAGGCATGGGATTACAAGTGGAGGGGTGTTGCTCAAAGTTTCATACACTGTATAGTAAATCACTCCGATTGGTGAATATCCTATGCCATTTCAATTTAATAAAATTATATAATATTTAAAAACTAAGGTAAGGAAAATGTAGTAATATGCTATAACATGACCATTAGTCATGTCCTTTCGTATTTTTTTCCCTAAGTAATGGTTTTTAAACTAATACTTAAAGCTAAAAAATAAATGAAGTAGAAGTTTTTACTGAAAGGTGAAATTCATTATAAAATAGGAAAAGTTAAGCAATAAGTGGATTTATTCCACTATTAGACTTTGTGAACATGGTCATATAAGTTTTGGATAAGTCATTAGTATATATTCATACTTAGCCAAACAAAAAATGACTTACAATAGTGAATTAAATAGGCTTAATAATGTGTTCTAATGTTTTATTTAATGCATCTCTATTTCTGGGTCTTAGCTAAATATACAGGTTTTCAATTGAAGCATATAGTTTGACTGTTGGTTAATATGTTGTTTAAATTAGCAATTTCTTTTTAAAAGACTTTTTCATGGTTAATTGCTAAATGTTCCACAAAAGACATTATTTCTTATGCTTATCTTCAAGTTGTAAAATGCTGAGCGTAATAATGCACTGATTGAGGCATTGACAGCAGTAAGTACTGAAGCTATTCAAAACAAGTCATGTGCCCAAGTGAACAGTCTATTTTTAATAGCAGTTGTGTGTAAAACAGTGGTTCTCAATCTAGGTTTTCATTCCAAGTATGGCATTGTCTAACTGTGTTGTGGTGTTCCTTGTAGGAGTGGAAAGAGATACACTTTAAAATTATTTAATTATAACAATAAATTACTGGGAAAACAGTTGAATCTCTGGAAGTTCAAAATCGTGGAATGTCTAATGTTTCTAAGTATATTCTTAGTTTGTGTTTTACCAGAGCACATTACTAATAGTTTATCTGCCTACTATTCAATATAAATTATGTTGATTATGTGATGTGAGATAAATTGATAAGGAAGTAAATTTAAAAAAAAAAACATAGAAACTGTGGTGTATAATTATGCAGTTTACTATTGATCACATTTGTTTCTCAAGTTTACTATACTATTTGAAATTGTTTGAATTTACTATAGTTTCACATTAAATATAATAGTTATAATTCTTCATAATAATAAACATTTGCCCACTTTATGACACATAAAAAATGAAATAAAAATTCTCAAATTAGTCATCTGAATGTGTTTTTTTTTCTCCGTACCCCCAAAACAAAAATAATTTTTAAATTAGTTCTAATGACATAATACCATTGTAAGTTGTCAGGATTTGTTTTTGATAACTTTGGCTTTGCAAATTTGAAGTCAAATCACCCTAATAAATATTACACTATTGATAATTTAAAATTTTATAAAAAATTAGAATATCTGACTGTTCTTGAAAAAAATAACCTGTTTTTCATTCTTTTAAATTGACTGGGTTTCGTAGCTTTTTCTCCTTTTTATTGTTTTTGGGATGGTTAAAGAATCTCATTTGTGCTATTTAGAATTACCTAAGTGTATTTTTAAATAATCTTTTGATCGTAAAAATGATATTTAAGTGTGAATGATTGATGATGGTGTATCTGTTCTAGTAATTCTTCTTTTTTTTCTTTTTCAAAGATTTACCTTGGTTTTCTTCTCTGGTTGCAGCAGTATTTAAATCAAAGCCCGGTTACACATTTTGGTCTTAAGCTATGCTTTTGGATGATACATAGAACAAAGCAATATTTTAAAACAGAATGAGTATATCCAGAATTATAAAGCTTCTCTTCCTAATCTTTTATTTAAGTACATGTAGCAAATAAACACACCAAAACACTCTGACTTTCTTACACACATATAAGAATTTAACAAAAAATACAGTTAGAGCTGTAGTAGTTTAGCAACTAAATTGTAAGCAACATGAGTTCATGTTCTTAATTCAACAGTATTGAGAACATGCAGAGAAGTTTGCAATTTGTAAAGTAAATATGAGAGTCAATGTCCTATCACTTAAAATCATACATTTTAAGAATTGCTCAAAAAAATTTCAGAAACTCATATTTGGAGTAGATTTTGTAACACAATTAAATATAAAACAAAACAAAACACAAACAACTACAAGTCACTTTGAAAAGCCATCTTACTTCTTTGTATAGTGAAACCTGTGAAAGCTGAAATTTGAGAGAATTGCTTTTACAAGTTTTCCACCTTTGGTAGGTATTAGACAGCCTTACCATGTTTCTAGCTATTGGTGGAAAAATATTTGAGTTTTACTTCTCTGATATGGTTCTGCCTTATACAGTTTCTAGTTTTTACAGGTTTTGCTGTACACCAGAATTTCTGTTTATAAATGGCTGATCGCTCTTGCCATGCATTAGATATATAAAGTCATGGAATCATTTATTGGAGATAAGAAAATATTTTGAGATAATGTTTTGATATTAGTCAGATCAATATGTAAACTGTACTTGACAGATGCATGATTTAATCTCCATTAGAAAGAAAAATTCTTTCTGTTAAACAAGATTCCTCAACATCGCTGTCTTGATCTAGCGCTAATCAGCCTCACACTTTTAGGTGACTTCTTTTTGGCTAAGATCATTCTTATTGTAGCATTTTAAATTTGCTTTATAATGTGAAAATGTCAGATAATTAGTATCCAGCATATGCAGAGGACTTCATACTTTCCTTTGTCTTACTGATCATTAACGCTATAAACTGTAGCCATATTCCTTTTCCAGCAATCACTTTAGATACTGGAAGAGCCAAAGGCAAGAGACAATGAAAGTTTCCCCTTCTCCTGCATTCAGGATAGTACATTATTAGCATACTAGATGTGCAATGATGGATTCATTTGAGCCATACTGTTCTTAATTAACTAAGATGTAGCTTTTAAATTAGGGTTTTAAAGAATGTTTCTTGAATTTATGGAAAATCCATTCGGAATTGCTAGAGGATCATACCACACAGACCGCTGTAACAAGTGTCTTAATTATTTGCTGTGACCTAGTAGATTTCTACATGATTAGTTCATCACATTGCCCCATGGGAGATTGAGTGTGAAGTACAATCTTCTGCTCACAATCTGGTAAGAAATGAGATAAATTTCTTTTCCTGTTCAGTGCTGAGTTGAACAAGCTGTGCTGAATCAATTAGCTTCCTATAAGTTTTTTTTTTTTTTTTGCCTTTATGAAAGAAACTGAAAAGAAAAAAAGTGAGAAAGATTT